TATAGCGTCTATATTTGTGTATATACATACTATTGTGTATTACATACTATTATGTACATTAGTATAATTTTTTCATATAAATCTTTATCTTATTCTAACTCTCTGAAAACGTTTTTTTTGCCTCCAAGAATTTTCTAAATAATAAAACAAAATTGAAAGAATATTATATACATAGCAAAGGTCTATAGTACATAAAGAAAGGGAAGAGTGTTTACAGGATCGGCAAAGCTAAAGCGTAAGCAAACGGCTTGGCGACTGTTTCGAGAGTGCCAGGTTACAGATACTCGGCTGTCAAGGACAAGTCTGTCCATTCATTCGTCCGTTCTTATGATCGATCATTCGTTCATTCATTTATTCGTCAATTGATTATTACTACATGTTATTTTTTATATACACAAATATTAATTTTATCAAAACACTTTAGATATTTTATTTCGGACTAATAACGAATTTGCTATTAAATGCAGTAAGCGCGTATCTAAAACCTCTAAATCAAGTGACTGTAATAAATGTCAAAATTCATTCCTAACTATATGCAAGTATAATATGATAATCCCCAAGACTTTTACTTGGCATATCTGATAGTACTATATGCTATATTACTAAACGATACAACGTTAATTATCGTGTTTTACTACTCGTATTTTCTTATTCTGTCGATTAGAAGCATCAAATCAATGTTCTAATTGCTATAGATATATAGTATAATATATTCATATCATAACGAGTAATTGATTACGTAATAAAATGTGATAAATGTTCACTCACCAGAGTCGTTGTACAACACTAAATATACTCACAGTTATATACTGGAAAAAATAATAAATAATTACATATTTAAATAATTAATAAATAATTTTACTCACCAGCTAATGTATGCTTCATTGCAAAATCCGTTAAAATCTTTATCATTCGTATCAGTTCTATCGAGGAAATAATGAATTATTGTGATTATATGTATAATTCTGGTAAAAGATGATTGGTCTTAATGGACACATACAGACATGTGCGCATTTACACAGTAAATTTCGAGGGAATTATATGTCATTGCGTGGATAAAATATCTATCTACGATGTCTATACATATCGCGACGTTCCTTAAATGCGGTGTTTTGTTTACTGTATATATATAATAAAATATTAAGTATTTTAATTAACTCAATTAATCTGTGGGAAATTTATTATACAAATAATATTATCATATATGAAATTTGTATTTATATAGCGCTGCATTAGTATATCGTATTTTTACCGACGTGATCCACCACAACAAGGTATGGTCGTACGAAGTTCACTTGACGAAACTATCTCTCATTCGACAATCGTATTGTCACACATCACATCGTATTATTGCGTTATATCGTATTCACTGACTTCTATCGCTGTAATCGTGATATAATAATAATCTCTTTTGACAACATTATATTTAATGAAAAGTTCTTACGTGATTCTCTTGAAAGATAATAAAAAGAATATAGGCATTATTTTCGCGTTTCTATGTATTCAAATTTGTACTCACTGCAACTGTACTAGTTTCAAACCAACATCAACGAAACCGTAGTAGTAGTGAACACTGGAGCAATTGATACATTCAGGAGATCATTCATCATTTTAATCAACACTTCCGTCACGATCTCATGCTGGGTTGCGTTCCAAAATTCAACTCTGTCAACTCGAGTATTATTTTATCCTTGTTGGTCATTAAATGTTAAATAAAGATAAAGGATACTCGGAGTTGACAAAGTCATGTTTTGGAACGCACCCTGACTGTGCACTTTTAACGGATAAAATTTACGAAGCGATAATTTTCACATTGCGTTTCGAACCAATACTTTCAAATGAGAATTATATGCTCTCTGCACGTTTTTCTAAGTAAATTATGATAATTAATTAACAACTTCATTTAACCAGTTTTTATAAATATTTAAAAATAAAAATACGTAAAAATAGAAAATTAAATGTAAAAAAGGCAGAGACAGAATTTTTTTTCTCATTTAAGCTTCAAATTAACACATCCATTCTATCTAAATAATTGTAACGATATTATTAGAAAAATGTATTAAAAAATTTATCGAATAGAATAACACTATATATATAATATAACAAATGATTTGTATAATTATAATAATCAGGATATCTTAGCAAATACTAATTAACAATGATATACTGTTAGTTATAATTTTCCATACAATATATATAGTAACAACTAATATATGTTATATAATTGTTATATTATAGTTATATTATCCAACAGAAAATTATATTCAACAATTTTGTTATTGTTGGTTTGCTAAGATTAATCATAGTAAAATTAATATGCAATAAAAATTAGTAACAATATTTTCAATTTTTTTACATTGATCATTGCAGAGATAAACTTTTTTTCCTAATCTTATCATAAATAACATGAGTAGTTCAAAATATTTACTTTTAAAATATTTACTTTTAAAGTAGTATTTTTTAAGTGAATATAACACTAAAAGAATTTTGATTGCTAAATGATCGCGTATATTTCACATGTATACTATATACACAGTTCATCGTAAGCTTTTAGTGATTTTTGCACTAATTGCTTATTGTTTTCTTCAGGAAATGAACTCGCAACTGCATGCTCTGACTTCAAGACTCGATCTATTCGACCAAAAATAAAGCACATTATGTACCTGTCTAAATATCCTTTTTTATACTCTAAAGAATAAACGATCAAGGATGTTTTCACAAACGCTGATCTTGTTCAACAATACACAATTTTATTCTGTTGTATCTTACAATAAAAGTGTATACAAACAGATTAAAGAGTAAGAAACCGTGAATCTCTCCGCACGGGCGGATGCATCAAACCGGGGATTGTATATTGTATTTCTATTTATCTTTTTCTCACACAAACAAATTTTACATCATCATCGAAATAATTAACGAAAATGTGCGTTGTAATAAGTTTTGCCAACAACTTTTATGAATATTATGCATGTTTACAATTTACGACGTTGCATCTATACATAAATCAAGTCAGTACAAAGCAAATATTACTCTAATCATTATATTATTTTAATTGTGGCACATAACATATCGTCTTTTTTCATATATGCATATTTACAATAATTTTTTTCAACAATAGTTAATGAAATAAAAGTTTAAATATATGAATACGAAAGGTTCACGAACCATTTATTATTTCATAAATTTATTATTTCATAAATTTTCAACGTGAGACCTATATCAATTAATGAATACATTCAGCAATAATATATAAAATAAATCTATTTTTAGATTTGTATGATAAATGCATTGCATTTGTAACTAAGAAAATTATTACTCATAAATGCTGAAATTACATACGATTTATGATAAAACCATATATAGTTTATATATTTATCATAAATAGAAAATATCAGAAAAACTGATTATATGTTCAGAAAATGACATCACATCAGAAATTTTTCAAAGACTTCACTACTTTGTAAATATACTTCTATATCTTTGATCATGGGATGTTTATAAAAGTGTTACTGATTTAATGAAATTAATATAATAAATAAAAATTGAATTATTTTTTAAAGTTTCAATTATACAAATAAACCTTTTTTTTTAACGTTTTAATTGAAAATTAAATTGTATTAATAAAAAATTAATACATTTGTTGTTTTTAGCAATTGTTTAAAATGAATATAAAAAATACGAATTTTGTCATGTTAAGTACAATATTACAACATTTCATTCGCAAAAATATATTTAAATTTTATGATGGAAAAAGCATTGATCTAACAAAAGTTATGTAATCTTACGTTTTACGAATATCTTAATGTTTTATAGACAGATTATTATAGACAGAAATAAAAAAAAAACAGACAGTATATTAAAACGAGAAATCCAGTCTGGAATCTGTATAGATCATTTAATCAAATTAACACGATCGTTTATAACAAGAATTGTATTTTTAACGAAACGATATGCCCTGATAACCATTAAAATCAGAAAGAAGTCGATGG